AGAAAGAACTGAGCCTGGCCTCAACAAGAATCTGTGAACAAACAGAACAAATGTAATGGTTATTTTAAAAGTGAGTGCAAATAAAGCTTTTACATCTGTGTTTTTTTTGTTTCTGTTTGATATTTTTGGTACTCCTGTTTGCTTTAATAAACAACAAAGTGATTTGTTCAAGATTCATTTGTCGCTCATTTCACACACTGCGTCTTCCTTCATGTGCAACCACACCTCACTGAACTTTGATCTTAAGTCACACATATAGTTACACTCTCAGTCACGTATACAATCCAGCTTTTCTGCAACTCTCTCGCCCAAAAAGCTCCAAGGTTCAGTTGAAGCTCCCTCCCAGCAGGGAGGATTTTTTTTTACTACACTCACAGGGCTCATTGAAAGACTTATAATGCAGTGGGCTGCTTCTTGGCTTTGCATTGCAGCGCCGTTGTTTTTGCTCTGCTTTGCTCCAAGTTGTCCCTCTGCTCAGAAATATCCAAAGTGTTGGCATGACAGACGCACTCAGATCCGTCAGAAGCAGCACAGCAGGAAAACGTTCTGTGATCCTTCCTTCAGCAACCAGACAGCAGGTGCTGTCACTCAGGTAATGCAGCTGCTTTTTGGCTTATCTGTTACTCACTGTGTTTTTCCTTCTTATTTTTCATACTACTGTTTGTTATTACATTATGTGGAGTGAGAGAAAACAAGGTCAAGAAATCTCAGTGACTCGGTTTTTGTGATCTGAGCATATAAAGCTACTATTAACTCTTGTGCAGTCACTATCAGACATGAGTTTTGTTACATGCCAGATATCCTAAGCTCAGTCCTAAGTCACCAGACCTTTACTTGGATATATAATAACCTTGAGCAGACTCATTTCCAACATGCACATGCTCTTCAATATGTATCTCTATGTCGCACACCACACTGTTAAAAAAAAAAATCCTAGAAAAACAGTAATATTCGGGCAGCTGGGGCGCCAAAATAATACCATGAAATAACAGAAAATAACTTTCCCATAAAAATACGGTTATTTTCAGTAATGACAATACAGTTTGTTGCCCTAATTTTACATGGGATCTTGCCTTTTTCATGTGCTTTTAAACATTAAATTAGGAACATTTTAATGTGATCAAACAATGAAATTACCTATAAACAAGGTCAATGAATGTGGCAATATGAATAATAATACTTAAATGTACAGAAATATACAGTTAACAGTTGGTTTAAATAATAATGGATTGCATTCCCTGGGACAGACTGACAGAGGCGAGGCTGCCATATCGCACCATCGGCCCCTCTGGCCATCACCAGTAGGCGGTAGGTGAAGTGTCTTGACCAAGGACACAACGACCGAGAGTGTCTGAGCCGGGGCTCGAACCGGCAACCTTCTGATTACAAGGCGAACTGCCAACTCTTAAGCCACGATCACCCTAAATAGCAATATTAATAATTAGTTGATGTAAACAAAGTTATATATTTTTCCATAGCATTACATTTGAATTTAACAGTTCAATCCTTCACATAACGGACAAATATTTGTGCAATCATGATACATTTGTGAATGTATTTTAACAATCTAAATATGCATATGTACAGACAAATACATTTACAAAACAAGGAAATTATGTTTTATTACATTACAGTGATTTTACATTAATTTACATTTGAAATGTGAAATCACAGTCTATTTATGTAAATTTAATGATATTCTAGAAGAACAGAACAAAACTGTAAAATACACAGTAAAATACTTTTATATTAGGACTTTTTCTTACAGTGCACTTTACAGCAAATACTACAGCAGGAACTGCATTTACACCTTGTATAATGATTGATTTGTGGTAATGCATTACTTTAAAGTAGGTCTAGCACCCCTGGAGTTTTCCATTATGTTAATTGCCCCATAGTTGACTGTTCATGTCGCTGTGTCATTACAGAAGTGCAGCTCTGGCTTCTACAGAGAGTGGGTCGGACCAAACAGGGGCCAGTGTGTGCCATGTAGCTGCAACGGGCTCCCCGATGAGTGTGATGAGCGTACAGGGAACTGTGTGGTGGGTGCTGACTCACACATGCACACACAAAAAGACAATCATTACTCAGATACAAGTGATGTCTCTGCTGCTGAGAAACAATATTGTGTCAAATGTCACTGTTGTAGCATTTGTAGTCACGCTGCTGGACCAGATGGAAACCATGTTCCTTTTCTTTTGTTTGATCTAACTGGCCTCTAGAAATGTCAGTTCAACACTACAGGAAATCGCTGTGAGCGTTGCAAGGAGGGTTATTTTGGAGATCCGGTGAACAGAACCTGTCGTGCCTGTCCATGTCCCTTTACAGAGAACAAGTCAGTATCTCTTTATGTCCTACTCTTCCTGCACAGCTTTCCTTTTCCTTGTTTTTCGTGAATATGAAGACCTTCACTGTTTGTTTTAGTTTTGCACTGGCCTGCCTCGATGTTGGCTCAGGAGTGGTGGAATGTTTGTGTAAACATGGTTACAGTGGAGTCAGATGTGAGAGGTAACCATACATCATTTGCATCTTTATCTTTGCAGCAAATGCCTCACTTATTTACTTTTCTTGTGTTTTTCCCCCTTTTAAGATGTGCATTTGGTTATTATGGCAATCCCATGGTGCATGGGGGCATGTGCAAGCCCTGCAACTGCAAGAAGAATGGTTTGAACATGTGTGATTCTCTGACTGGAGGTGACTATTTATGCAATAAAGAAATAAATAATAAGTAATGAATAAATAGATAATTACTCATTGAGAAAAAAAAGATCTCAATCCCTTTGTGCCAGAAGTGCACTGATGTTTTCTCCAGGTTCACTTTGCAATGCATCTGTAATGTATAGTCTAAAAATACAGGTCGCTGAGGAAATCACCACTCAGTAACATAGAGTGAAAACATTGCAGAAGGACAATGTCTGTAGTCATTGAGCTGTGAAAGACTAAACATGACCTCCACGGGTACAGAGTGTCTGGTTGCAATTTATTTTGCTTTAATGAAGGTCTGCTTTCAATTCTTCTCATATTTCTCGGGCATGCTCCTCAGCATCTAATTTAATTACATGTTTTTGATGTAATTTTAGTTATTTAATGCATAAAATTTATATTATTGTATATATACATTTTAAATGAAATGGTATTTATTTATTTATGTATTTTTGGTTGGTTGTTGTTTGTTTGATTTCCTACAACTTACTTATACTTACTGTATATTTTTGTAGCCTGTATATCCATATATGGATTTGCATACATGGGCTAATAGGACAGCTAAAGTGGCCTTCATGTGATGAGATCCAACTTTACTATTTTTTCCTTTCAACAGAGTGCATCACATCTGGTAATAGTAACTGTGGGGATCACTGTCATGGTGAGTCTGTGTTGAAAGTTCATCTTGCAGTCATGTTTTGACGTATAAAACTAAGACTCACTATATTTCATCTTGCCTTTACCGGCAGAGTGTGACAGCTGTACTTACACTTTGCTGGTGGACTCAGAGAAGATGGATGATGATCTGGTTTGGCTGAAACAGCAGCTGCAGAACATCAATCATAATCCTGTATCACAATCTACTCTGAACAACCTGGAGGCTAACATATCTGAAGCAAAGGTAGCGATTCACAGAGGGAATAGGTGTTTTTCTGAGAAAATACACTGCCCTTGAGAATATTTGCTATTTCAGATCATGCAGCAACATTTCTCCAAGTTCAAAGTACTTCTTATCTAATGTTTCTTAGGTACAGATGGGGAGGCACAAGACTGCTGTGAGACTCCTGGATCCAAAGGTTGAACAGCTGGAAGCAGATGTGGCGGCTGACAGATATGACTTGTCTCAGCTGAGTGATGAGGTACCTGGAGTGAATTTTCCCGTGCTAATCAAAATGTAACTCATCCAAGAGACTGATCATTTTTCCTTTTTAATTGTAAATGCAAACTCATATCAGAATACTAGAGGATAGAAGTGAAATACAGAGAACCCACAGGGAGCTTTCCCAGCTCTTTATGTTGGCTTATTATTAAATATATTTAAATATTTTTCAAAATGTTACCAGAACCTTGACATTACATCATATTTGAAGAAGACCTTGGAGTCTGCAAATGAAATGAAGTTAAAGGGAGAAGATCTATTTAAAACAGGAGGTCTTCTCACAACAATACAAGGTACATCTCTGAAATATGAAAATATTTGTGGTTTTATCAGCGTGAAGCTGGAGTGTTCCTAACTTTAATAATTTCTGCTCAGTGATATCAGCTACAAGCAGATCTTTCCTGCCTCTCCTGCCAAAGACTTTGTGACACTTGTTAAGGAAACCAAATTACCTGTTATGTCAAAGTGGGCATCAGGCTCAGCCGTATCATTTAACAGCACTGTCTCTCCTCTTGTCAGATCTGATAAAGCAGCTAACTGAGGCGAAACCTGAAGATTCAGTTTCTCTCTCTGAAAAGGACAAAGGCAGGATGATGGAAGAAGCTCAGCGCATCATGCAGGAAATGAGAA